TATTTAAAATTAACTGGCGTTTGGAAATAAATTAAAAAAATAAATTTTTTTGTAAGAATAAAGTATTTTGTGGTAAGGTATAATGTGTGAATATAAATTTTAAACATAAATTGGAATAATAACTTATAAAACACCGTTTAATTACTTAAAATTTAAACTTTTCTATTTGGCAAACTTATATGCGCGTTTGAAAAAAAAATCACGTGTTTAATAATTTATTATATATATTCTGTTAATCTTTATTATTTTTCAAAAACATTTTGATATGTTGTTATTTAGTTATTAGATTACAGCTTAGTCTTTACAACTATTCTGAGATTAACTGAGTTTTGACATTTATCTCTTCAGTTGTTTGAGTTAGGATGAACAAAAGAGATTCATCTGTAAAGATTCTACAGTACTAAATTAGTAAATAAATATATAGGTTAATATGAATAATACTAAAATAAAAGATATATCAAATATATTACAAAATATCTTTATATTTTCAGATAATATTAATTTATCTTACTTAATTATTAATAGTACAAAATGGTTCCTATTCTATTAATATTTTTTTGTCTAAGTTTGTAATAAATCATTCAAATATTATGTAGATTCTTTTAATTTTGACTAGCAAGCTCAAATAGTTTTAAATTTTAAAGGATTCGATGAATTTTTATTAATGATTTTTTCTATATAATTTGGATTTTTAATATGAGTTGTTGAAAAATATAATGTAAAAGTACAATAAAAGTAAATTGTTTGAAAAAATGTGCAAATGAATTAAATTATAGAAAGATAAATTTAACTCATTGTTAAGGATAAAACAGAAATTGACAAAAAAAATCAACAAAAATGATTATCCAAATTTCAAAGAATTAAATTGAAAATACTTCTTCCGTGTTCGTAGCATTTTTTAAAATACAAGTCTTTGTACAATTTGACCATTATTCTCTTTATATTTATTTCACCGTATTTATATTTTTTAGTGTATAACCGCTAAGACACTTAAAATAAAAATAAGATGAAATAAAATAAAATAAAACAAACAAATGATTCCTTTCCTATAATTGTTCCCGTATTTTTTTCGAGTAATTTTGTTATCACATAATACCTATAAACGCACATGTCACGTAATGTAACCATAATTGTTTCTGTATATTTCTCGATTGCATAACTTATTCTTAGTATCTTGTTTATATTGATCTCACAACCCCTGACTGACTTGACATTCCTAAGTTTTCGATTTCAAATTTTTGATTGACCATGTCATACCCTTGATTAACTCAACTTGATCTTTCTTCTCGATAATATGCACTTTTTCGAACATTTCTTGACTACAAGTATTAATCTTAATTTGTATTTTCTATCTATTCATTCCAATTTAGTGGTGTCTTAAATTATTATTGCCCTTAATTGATTTTTTTAGTTTTGATATTTAACCATCACTAACTTCGATTTCCTTCTTTAATTATCATTCTTTCTCTTGATAACTCTCATACTTCCCAATTTATTTGTTTCGAAGTATTTGAAGATTTGTTAATAACAATACTACATCAATCATAACTAGTTACGGTTATTGAAAATATTTTAAATATATTCATATCTATAATTAAAATCATGTTCACTTCTTATAATTCCAATTAACTAATGATGTAAAATTTGTTAATTTTTTTCTTTTTCAAAATTAAATACTTTTTTAAACAAAAACTATTATTTTATTAAAAAATAAACATAACATCAACACGAATTATACATCATATCATACTTATCCATATATTCTAAAATCATTTCTATGTCATCAAAAATAAGATTTAACAAAGAATTTTCCTTTTCTGAAATGATTTGAAGTGGTTATGTGATTAAAAAGACTATTTTATTTTGTTATTAAAAATAAAATACTTTGTGATAAAATATGATTTATGAATATAAATTTTAAGAATAAATTAAAATTTAAGATCATTTCCATCTTACATCAATTTCTGTTATGAATAACTCTATTTTTTTTTCTATCTCATAAAATAAAAATTATATTTTTATAAAAGTAACTAGTATTATAGTCACTTATATATTATGATATAATATTTTGTGTTTGTGTCAACAATACACAAATATATGATATAATTATTTATATAAGTCCAATCTATAAATAATATCTTTTATATAAAAATAATATTATAATTAAATTCACAATAAAAAATACTTTAAACGTAAATTATAGTGAACAATTTATGTTGAAATTCTGTTATTTTTTAGTATTATAATTTTGAAAATTGAATGAGATAAAAAAAAAAAATAGAGAATCCTTACACATGAAAAATTATCTTAATTTTTTTATAAATATAATATTAAATTATAATATTTTTAAGTAATTCAAATATTTTTGTAAAGACCTATAAAAAATATTTAAATTATTAGAAAAAAATATTAAAAAGGTTAAATAATAATAATAATAATTATTATTAAAATAAGATTTTTTTATCTAGAAGAAGAAATGAGCATGCCTTAGAAAAAAAAATATAATTTGTAATTAATGTTATTTAATGTAAGAATGAAAATAAATAAAAAGTAAGTCAAAATATTTGAAGAGAAGATTGAGTTGGAAAATAAAAGGTCTTTGAAGTAACTTTAGGGAGATCATATCAAGTCATTATCATACTTCTAAGGTTGGTCATAGGGAAATTACATTAGGTTGACATTTTGGAAATCATACTAAGTAGGTCAACCATGAAAGATCACATGAATTCGAAATTTTTGGAAATCGTACTGAACAAGTTGGCCATAAGGAAATCACTTAATATTGTAAATTTGGAGTTAACGAGTCAAATAACCAGGTACGAGTTAACTCGTAAGTATACTTGTTTTAGAGTAGACTCGGAGTTAAACTCGGTGGACTCTGAGTAAAGTTGTGAGTTAGAGGCGAGTAACCGAGTTTGAAGAAAAAGAAAAACTTGGATATTTTTCGACTCTCCTCATTTCTTCTCACAAGTTCAGATTTCGTTACTTTCCATTGTTTGTCGCTGCTTATCATCGTCGGTAGTCATTGTCGCGTGCTTGCCTTTATAGTCGTGTGATGGTGGTCACACACGTTCACTTGGATCGCACATTGGTCGTGCAGTGGTTGCGTGATGGTCGCGCGATATTCACCTGGGTCGCACGGTGGTCACGCTCCTTGCAGTTGCTCGCCGCTGCTCACTGCCCTCTAGGTTAGATTGAGGAATTAAGGGATTTAGGATTTTAGGATTTTCGAATAGATGGGACAGGTTAGATTGAGGGATTAAAGAATTTGGGATTTTAGGATTTCGAATAAATGGAGAGATTTTAGACATTCAGGATTTTTTATTTTTAATTTGATTATACTCGTTGTACAAATTCAATTTTTTTTATTTTAATAGTGAGAAATTAATATTATTATATTTATTATTAAATTGATATTTTTTATATGAAGTAAACTCTTACGAGTCTACAAGTCGAGTTTACCAATCTTAACCTCTCACGAGTCTACAAGTCGAGTTTACCAACCTCTCATGAGTTTACGTAGACTCTCGAGTATGATAACCTTGATCATAGGGAGATCATATTTGTCATCTTAGAGACCATATTTATTAAGTTGAACAAAACTTGCATTTGTTGCAAAGTTGAGATTTCTTCCTCCCGTTGTTGGAAAGTTTCACCCATAATCTCTCATCACTCATGTTTAATCACTTATGTTTTGTAAAGTAAGAACAATATCACTTGTTCCACGATAGACGTCCATATTCTAGGCAAAAAGTCTTGGTTGGAGTTCTAGACTCTTCTATTAGAGCTTTCACTATGTATTGTCCCTTTTTATTTTTTTTTATTTTTATGGTGAATTTTATGTCTATTTGTAAATTTTTCTATTGACTCTCCACATTGATTATACTAGCTTGCAAATTAGTCACTTTGCGTGTTTAGTCATGACTGAGTGCTTGATAATTTCTTTTAGTTGCAAACATATTTTATTCTCAATTGTCATTGTGAACTTTAGTTGTAAGGTCTTATAGGTCATATTTTACTTAATATTGTGATTGAGATTGATCTTATATTGATTAATTAGAGAGATTAGTCCTTATACTAGCGACATAAAATTACATAATTCTCATAATTAAAGCGAAAATTAAAAATGTGAAAAAATGAAGTTGGTCTTTTGACCCCTCAAAATAATAACATAGACATAATCATTTTTTATATAATAATAATAATAATAATAATAATATTTAAAACTAATTGCTTGTGAACACACCATTTTTTATAATATTAAAACAAAATATAAACTAGCAATATAAAAGCATTTTGCAATGTTATCTTAAGCTCTTAAACCAGTTATCCAGAGCTACAAATTGGTGGTAACAAGTCTGGACCCATTGACTTTGAGGATCATCAAGACACAGAGAATTATTTTCTATGCATATACATTTTGAAGTGACAATGGTGGATGGGTCAAAATCCTTCTGCAAGCAAAGTTGTTCCTCATTTTGAGTCATAGTAGCCAAGTGAAGTTTAGACAGTGATACATATATCCAAAAACTATTCTTGCTTTCACAATCAGAAACTACAACGGGAAGCCCTTCACCGGCTGCTGTTAAGCAATTTTTAGTGCCATGTAAAAAGATTTGACTGCCATTTCCTCCATGAACCCATCTGTTCTTGGTCTCATAGCTACCAAGTTCAACTTCACTCTTCTCATTCACTTGACCGCATTCACCAGATAATGGGTGGTACAAGATATTTACAATGGGGGCCTTTGAGATAGGTTCTGCATACAATACACAAGTTATGTTATTAAAAAAATAATTCATATTCAGGATTATGAATCACCAAACTCATTTGTTTAACTCAAAAGTCATACCTAGATTCTTCCTTTGCAAAAGTTGGAACTTGCGAGTGAAGTTGGGATCTCTCAGGTGGTGCCAAGTATCATCCATTACACCAAAGGACTCCTCAACTTGGACCGTGTCATTCTTTAAATAGTAGCTACCCTGAAAAGCCCACAAACCTCAATCCAAATCTTTTCCAACAAGATAAGTTTGAAGACATGTTAAGAACCTGTTGTCCTCCACTGAAGATCCTGCCTCATTAAACCCAAACTCTGTAAAAATTAAAGGAGCTGCATTCTTGATAGTGGTGAGGAATCCAGCTCTATCCTCTATCCCTTTAATGCTGTCGGCACATATCCTATTCATTAGTTGTTTTGTCCATATCTCTCTCAATTTCAAGGTTCCAATTCACACCATGAATACAAATGTGTCTCAAACACCATTTTCTTACCCAAATCTATCTTCAATGGTTTACTCTTTAAAAACTGTAACTCAGTATCATAGTTCAATCCGGAAATAACCACAAGCACATTTGGGTTTGTCTTGTGTATAGTCACTGCTGCTTTGCTCATGTACCTGTACCAGTCATACACATTTTGGCGTGGACCATGCAATTCATTCCTCAAGCTCATTGCCACAATCTGTTTGCATTAACAAAATAATACTTTATATCCATTATCTTATTTAGAAAACTAAGAAAACTAAGAAAACTATAATATACATTGTTTGAGCAAAAGAGAAAAATACATACAACATGGTTTCCATTGAAGTGTTTGGCTACTAGAGTAAGGTCATGCACCCATTCTTGAGGATTAAAGTGTCTATCATGGAAGAAACCGTTCTCATCATTGTCATTACAACACCACTTTGGCTCACTCACATGGTTATCAAGCAACACTTTCACGTTTTGAATCCCAAGTTCACGAACGACACAATCAAAGACCTGAACATGTGTCATGGATAACACGGAAGGGTTGTTCTTGACAATACCTTGGACCACGCCTGGTACATCCAAAGAGGTAAACGTGGCATTGATATTGTTGTGGACATAGTGTGTCCACATGTACATTGCATAAGTGAGACGCACGCAGTTGAAATTGTGCTTCACAATCTCACCAACGATGTCCTTTAAGGGCCTTTTGTCAAGACCCTCAGGAATCATTGGTTGGAGGTGACCAACCCAATTGGCACATACCAACTTCGCACGTTGTCCTGTGCCTTCATCTATGATCCATCTCTTTTGTGTTGATAAAGGGTATGCATTCGAATGTGATGTAGAGATGAATAAAAACAGAACCGGGAAGAGACAAGAACGGAAGGTATTCTCAATATTTTTTTTTTAAATAAATTAAAATTAACTTTTTCAACTTGAAGAGGAAACCATGCAAATATATAGAATTTTTTAGAGTAACAATTTTAACAAAATCTAATCCTTAATAGATTCCACTCTTTTTTTTTAACAAAATGTAATTATTAATAGATTCCACTCTTTTTTTTACAAAATGTAATTATTAATAGATTCTAATCCTTTCTAAGTTAAAAGTTGTAACGGAGTAACTTCTTCATCTTTCTATCAGCTTTTTTTCTATTGAAATAGATTAACAAACCATTTTTCTTTTCCATCTCATTAATTAACTATTTTAATTATTTGTTGACAGGCTTTCAAAAGAAATAACCTTTTATTATTATAATTATATTATTAAATGGAAGATATAATTATTTAAATATCATTCCTCTTAAAGAATATTTTACATATCAGCGAGATTATTTTGTTTGTTAAGTATATTATATAAATTAATTAAAATTTATATAGAATCAAAATCTAAAATTTAATAAGTTAAACTAATGACACATTTTCTGTACCTTTCTTTTCATTTTTAAATATTTTATATTTTATTTTTAGATACATGTATTTACTAATTATATAAAATAATAGAATGAAATATTAAATTAAATAAAATGAAATATGTGATTTTGTAATTATTTATGAACCTTTCACCCGTTTATTTATAGATAGTTATATAAAAAAATAAATTAAATAAAAATAATATTTTACACAATTTACTTAATAAATTTATTTATTTTTAATAAAAATTTGTTTAATTTAACTATTTTAAAATTTTGATAATTTATAAACTATAAATTAAAAAAATTAATAAATATATTGTTAAAAAAGCGTGAATGTCTAAACATACTCAAGAGGGGATGAATTGAGTTTTCAAATTTTTTTCAAATCTAATCAATTATTTAAATTTTTTTTCTAATAATCAAATTTAAAAAGAATTAGAAATGTGTCAAGATAACAAGAATACCAAGATAAAGAATAGAAAGAAAAGAATACAAGAGTTTATATTGGTTTGATTCTTTTGAATTTACATCCTACATCCAATTAATCAAACAATCTTAGTTTGAATTTTTCATTCAAACTTATTCAATAACCAGATTGCTAACCTCGTAGATCTTGATTGTAACACACTTTAATCAAGATCTAAAAACAAATCACAACACTTGAAAATTCTTATTCACACAATTTTCAAGATAAATTTGATGTTGTTCATCCATATACATCAAAATACAATAAAAATTTACAAAACAGAAAGACAGGAACGATTTCACATGACTTTTGAAATACTGCATCCTATAGCTAAATAATCTCTTCTTAGTTCGATTTTCTTCAAAAAGTTTTATAGAATCACAAATGTCTTCTTGATGCCTACAAAGACGTTTTTTTTAATGTTTTAATAGTTTCTAAAAGATTATTTTAATGGAAGAAAATTACATTTTTTATAGAGTTGAAATTTATTACAACTGATTCAGATAATCGATTAGCGTAACATCTAATCGATTATTTGCGTGCAGTGACAAATTAGAAATAAACCATATAATCGATTAGGTATTAACATAATCAATTATTACCATGTTATATCAAATAGAGAGGTAGTCAAATAATCGATTAAGTGACAATATAATAGATTATTAACAAATAGTATAAAAATATGAATTTAAATCATATCATCGACTAAATACTTATCTAATCGATTAATACAAATTTAATTGATTCAATTTTAACATAATTGATTAGTTTTAAATTTCTACCTTTTTTTATTTTAAACAAAAGATTAAATAATTTGGCTTTAACAAAAACTACAACTACCTCGCTATTTATTAAGACATCCTAACAAAAAAATATTCTTCAACCATTCTTTATTGTTCGTTAACATATATTTACGAGCCGAAGTGATTAATTTGATTTCTTACAAAAATTATTTCTCAATAAAATTGATAAACACTAAAAATCACACATTAAAATTATAAACAAAATTGTGTTAACTTTTTTTCGTTTACATTAAAAAATAATGTTTACATCTACAATAAACGTAAATTCTAATAAATACTAACTTCATCTAAATTCAAATTAAATAATAATAATAATAATAATAATAATAATTCTCGTAATCATCATAATGATAATGATTAAGAAATAGTTATATACAATTTGTTTTAAGTTAAAAAAATTGGAGAGAAAGAACAATCTCCTTGTATTTATTTTTTTTATAAAAATGGAAAAAAGTTAAAAAAATTTAAATGATATGAAAGGTAAAATAGACAGTACACCAGAAAAAATGTTTTATATATCCTTCCTTTTTAATAATATAAATATAGATATAATAATAATAATATTAATTATAATTTATCTTAACTTAACCGAAAGTTTTTTTAAAAAGAAAGAAAGAAAGAAAGATTTTGTTGTAATATTTCACATAAAAAAAAACAAATTCAATAATTCAAAACTCATATTTAAAAACTAAGATGCATTTTTATTAAATTTGAGATGCTTTTTTTTTTTGTAATTTAGGGATTTAAAAATATATTCTTTTCAAATTAAGATGTTAAAAGTATAATATAATCTAATTTATAAAATAAAGTAAAGATAAATAATAGGTGTAATTATATTAAGTTAAAAGTTGTCTTTTTTTCAAATAGGATCCTATTTTAAAATTTCAGATATAAAATATAAAATTTAAAAACATATTAATAGATATCAAGATTAATATTAATAAATATAAAGTTGTATCTATTTCAGAACTCTTTCACCAGTTTTATATTTAAAAATTATCTCAATAAATTAATATATATATATATATATATATATATATATATATATATATATATATATATATATATATATAAATTACTCTTCACTTGAATTTCTAAAGAAGGTAAGATTTATAAATATACTGAAATATGTTCTTCTAGTTAAGAATTAAGGATAGGAATAAGATTCTATTTTCAATCACATAATTAACGTTAATATTTTGACTAAGAAGTATAATTTCCGTGTGAATCAATCAAATAATATATATAATTATTAATAGATTTATTAATCGAGTAACCTTATCTTTCTATCCATCATGTTATGTTCGGTGGGTAAGAAAGAAGGTTTGAGAAAAAGAAAAGAAAATAAATGAAAAAAATAAAAATAAAGTGAACAATATTGGTTGAGAAAAAAATATTCATTTTAAAAAATAAGAATGAATTAAATTAAAATTAAATATTTATGCGTTTTGGAATCAAAGGTCAAAAGCTTACCAACTTTCCTTCCATTCCATACCATAATCGCCCATCACGACTCTCTCCAAACGCACGCCACTCCGTTTGTACTTCTGGGTTCTGATGGCATAAATACACTCCAAATCACCTCACCAGAGTTTATAACTCAAACCAACACATTTACAAGAATGGCCTACACTAACATAATTATTACTTTGGGTGAAGAAATTAGAGAAAATGAGTGAAGTGGAAAGAAGGAAAAAACAAACAAATAATTTTTTTAGATCAAGAAAGTAATAAGAATGAAAATGAAAATGGAATTCTGTCTCTACCTATTTGGTTTTATAAGTGTTATGTTACGCTGAAAAATATTTTATAACAGAGTTGCACTCTGTCGTTGTCTTTAGACACCTGAATGGTTTATTCTGTTAAAATTTATGTTTGGCAGTGCAATGAAATCATTAAGCATGTTAGAATTAATAAATAAATAAATTTAATTATGTGATTCATGTTATTGGAAAGTTTCAAAATTAATACATACTACTACGGGGAGTTATCCATCAACTTAGTGATAGTATAATGAGTTAATGAATAATATGAGAAGTTATTTTTTCAAATTAATGATAACTAACTTGATAGAAATTGATTATATAAAAGGAAGTAAAAGTTTTGTTTCTTGCATAAAGTTTTTCTTACTATTAATATCAAAAATTGTGAAAGAAGAAAAATAGAAAGACAATAATTTATGCATAATTTTTCCATTGCGTTAAGAATTAATTGCACATTATAAATTAATTTATGTGAATTGCAATTAATATTTTAATTTTATTATATGAATAATATATTTTTTAATTGAAAGGTGAATGATTATAAACTTAAAAGGCTTAGAATTGGAAATATAATTCCTTGAATAGATTCAAAATTAAGTATGAGTGATGAAGGACGCTCGGAGGGTGGTCAGAATGGTACTGTGAGTGCTAACCATAATATGTTCACAGATGATAGCCTCTGAGATCGGACATAGTTATGGTAGATTTCCAGAAGGCATCTTAGTGTTTGATGATTTGTAATTGATGATAATATGTAATTATTAATTCTATATCTCCTTTATTATATCGAATGATTTAATATTTACCCCTATTTTTCCATGTGGATGAGATTGCCATGATCACTTTTATGTGGGAGCAGATCAGGAGTTGAGAGGTGGAGATGCGACAACTGGATAATAGGAATAGTTCAGTAGGATGATCTTGTGGGAGCTACTTTTGCTTGTATCTATATAAATAAATTATGTTACTATGTTTTAAGGTTCCGTTAATGAACCAGGATTTCAGTCTATATTACAATTACAGTAATATAATGTAATATAGATGTTGTTATTTACTTACTTACTATTTTGTGAAGACATAATTATAATAGCGATTTCTAGGGTCGTTACAATAGTGGTATCAGAGTGATAATATCTTTGTAAATCTGTGGGGATGGGTAGTGACCCTATGATAAGTCTATTGTGCTCTGATATTGAGTGTGTGTGATTGTTTGCTCTGTATTTATGGTTGTGTTTGATATAGGATGGCACAGCGACCTCCTACTCCTACTCCGCCAAGTGTA